AACCTGAGAATTTTCTCAGGTTTTGGAACAAAAATATGAAGGAAATTTTCCGATTTTGTGAGCCGGAATTAATCCAGATTTCTTTCAGTTTTTGCAAGGAACAATTTCAGATTTTGGAGAGGAGATCCTCTCCGTAGCAAAGCTGGCGTTTTCGTTCTACATCAGGGGGGGAGCTGTGTCATTCAAATGCTTCTACAGAAATGACTTTTGAAGATGAATCAATCAATGAAATTTCCATAAACCATCCCCAAGCTTCGATTTGTCAAGCAAATGACTGTTGTAAGGGATTTATTCAAATACCTTGCTTATTTTAAGAATTATTCTTTGCCTGGATTTTACTAATTAGTTGCAATTTTTTTGGAGAAGGTTTCTATTTCTATGGATTAGTTGCTAGATTCTAGGAGTTTGGTTCTACTTTTAAGTAGTAATTCCTATTTTCATGATTTACTTGGAATTTAAAATTTTTATATTATTACTTATTTCTTTTATCAGTAGGGACCTATTAGGATCATTTTAAGTCAAAAATGGTTGAATAAAATAGATTTCAATTTTCACTCAATCTTCTATGTCATCCTTCTCCCTCTTTCTAGCTCACTCTGTTTTGGCCCATCATCTCTAGCCGCAGGCCTTTCTAGCCTTCAGTCTCCAACTTCTGAGCCTCTAGCAGAAAATACTCTATTGTTCTTATCCATAGGTCTTCTAGTGCATAATCTAGTTGCCAGTCTCCTCATTCCAGCTGCTAGTTTGTTTCCATTTAAAAGGATTATTTTCATCTGCTTTCCACTTCTCAAATTGTGCCAAGATGGTGGAATTGCCTGCTGTTTTTAAGGGGAAATCTTGGGATAATTTGAAGTATTATCAAATTATATGAAGGAGAGAGCTAAGAAGCAAATGAGTCATTGTGAAGGATTTCCCAACAAAACCTTAGCTTCACATAGGTTATGCTATTTTAAATTTACATATTAATCTACTATTTAGTCTTTATAATATTATTTTTCTCACAAAATTTTGTAAAACTGTAGTTTATCTCCTTGGTCTTTCTTTTCCGAAGCTTTATATGCCATCTTAATAGGATACCCAAGGGATTGTGGGATCTAATTTTCCTTGAGTTGTTAGTTTGAGAAGCTTAAATCCTTCCAACTTTAGTTAGTGATCTAACAGTGACAATGATGCAGGACTAAGTATGAAATGCTTTAATTCATTTAGATTTGCACAACTCTTGATCAGAATAATTAAGAATAAAACTTCTAGCAGTTAAAATGACAAGTCAAAACAAAGAAGGGGTCACACCCGCTTAAGCTAAATTGTGTAGCAAGAGATTTGGATCCGTCAAAATAGATTCATAAAATAACACAATGCCAAATAGTAGTGTTCAAAGAAATCACTAGTCTAACAATAAGAGTTAGAAAGCGTAAAGGTGCACTCAAACCCTACGTTTATTAAGCTTAAGCATGAGCAATGAAGAGGGGTCCGTCGTGACTGCAATCAAGCCAAGAGAAGGTAGACTAAAAGATATAAGATGCAAGGAGGAAGAGAAACCTTCATCAAGGAGTGGGGGAGATCCTCCACTCGACGCCTTTGAAATGCTCGTCAATAGCTTCCACCAAGGTATCTAGAATGCGTTCCAAGTAGTCTTCGACGGTGTGATTAATCCTTGGGTTCACGTCGAAGAAGGTTGATCGTAGGATGTCGGTGAAGCCGTCTTCTTCCCAAGTTAATTTGTATTCAGTTGCCGGATCCGCCATTCATGGATGATTGAAGGTAGGGTCTCCTTAGCACTTGATACGCCTATCGAGTGGTAGCAAAGAGAAAGAAGTTTCTCTTGCAAGTGGAGAGGAAGCAAGCTCCAAGTGTCCTTAAAAAATCTGAAATAGTTCCTTCCAAAAATCTGAAATAGTTTCATGTTTAACTCAGAAATCTGAGAGGAATTTCAGTTTTCTGTGTTTAGAGGAAAGGGACTTGAAGGAGGAAGAGTTATGATCTCAAGTCCAATGGGGAATTAAAGGTAGAGAGGAGATATGAGAGAGAGAGGGGAGAGGCGGTTGGGAGAGAGGAGGCCGGCAGGATTGAGAGGGATTGGGGGGATCTTATTTCCTAATTCCAATCTCTGGTTTTAGGAAATAATTTAGAGCTTGGGGATTTGGGAAAGTTTCGGCCAAGAGAGGTGAGGGGGTTTGAAATTGCTTCCAATAGGGGAGGTTGGGGAAATAGGAAATAACTCCTAATTAGTCCCTATAGGGGCCGGCGACAATGAGGGATAAGGGAGGCAATTAATGGGGGATTTATGGTCTCCTAATTTGGTTTTAGGCTTTAGGAAAGTATTTAATCAAATCCAAATTAAATTTGAATTTCAAAATAGATATGAATTAAAACTTTCCTAAAATAGATGACTTAAATTAGGAAAGATAATTCAAATTTGATTGAATTTGAATTGCAATAAATTTCCAAAAGTAGTCTTCAATCTAGTTAGGAAACCTAAAGGGGTAAGGGGGTGGGGAGGTGACCGTCGGCTATGGGATTATGGCCGGCGGTATGGGGAAGTCGGGTGAGGTGGCTGGTAGGGTGAAGGGGAAAAATTGAGGGCTAGGATTGGATGAGGTGTTGGTTGGCGGCTAATGGAGGATTGGGATGCGAGAAGATGAATGATGGAGGGGAGGGAGAAAGGATGAAAAGAAAACAACAAAGAAAATCACGAACCCGGCCATCTCCAAGGTTGGTGGGTGATCCGACGTCCCTCCCTTGGGAATTCTCTCCAAAGCTCTCACGCTCTCACACAAACACAGGATTGCAGGAAAATTTTTATAATATCATTCATTAACTAAAAAAAAAAAGTTATGAGGCTATAAATAGCCGAGTACAAAGACTCAAGGAAAATAAAAGACCAACTTGCCCTTTGGGCTCACACTCGACAACTCCCACTAAAGGGGTACAAACGGAAATAACAAAATGACACTAAGAAAATAGAAAAATACATGAATAATAAAATAACATAAATGACTCAGAAATACAAAGACTTCGACGGTGTGATCAATCCTTGGGTTCATGTCGAAGAAGGTTGATCGTAGGATGTCGGTGAAGCCGTCTTCGTCCCAAGTTAATCTGTATTCAGTTGCCGGATCCACCATTCATGGATGATTGAAGGTAGGGTCTCCTTAGCACTTGATACGCCTCTCGAGTGGTAGCAAAGAGAAAGAAGTTTCTCTTGCAAGTGGAGAGGAAGCTAGCTCCAAGTGTCCTTCAAAAATCTGAAATAGTTCCTTAAAAAAATTTGAAATAGTTTCATGTTTAACCCAGAAATCTGAGAGGAATTTCAGTTTTCTGTGTTTAGAGGAAAGGGACTTGAAGGAGGAAGAGTTATGGTCTCAAGTCCAATGGGGAATTAAAAGTAGAGAGGAGATATGAGAGAGAGAGGGGAGAGGTGGTTGGGAGAGAGGAGGTTGGCGGGATTGAGAGGGATTGGGGGGATCTTATTTCCTAATTCCAATCTCTGGTTTTAGGAAATAATTTAGAGCTTGGGGATTTGGGAAAGTTTCGGCCAAGAGAGGTGAGGGGGTTTGAAATTGCTTCCAATAGAGGAGGTTGGGGAAATAGGAAATAACTCCTATTTAGTCCCTATAGGGGCCGGCGGCAATGAGGGATAAGGGAGGCAATTAATGGGGGATTTATGGTCTCCTAATTTGATTTTAGGCTTTAGGAAAGTATTTAATCAAATCCAAATTAAATTTGAATTTTAAAATAGATATGAATTAAAACTTTCCTAAAATAGATGACTTAAATTAGGAAAGATTTTGAATTCAAATTTGATTGAATTTGAATGACAATAAATTTCCAAAAGTAGTCTTCAACCTAGTTAGGAAACCTAAAGGGGTAAGGGGGTGGGGAGGTGACCGTCGGCTATGGGATTATGGTGTATGGGGAGGTCGGGTGAGGTGGCCGGTGGGGTGAAGGGGAAAAATTAAGGGCTAGGATTGCAGCTAATGGCGGATTGGAATGCGAGAAGATGAATGACGGAGGGGAGGGAGAAAGGATGAAAAGAAAACAACAAAGAAAACCACGAACCCGGCCGTCTCCAAGGTTGGTGGGTGATCCGACGTCCCTCCCTCGGGAATTCTCTCCAAAGCTCTCACACTCTCACACAAACACAGGATTGCAGGAAAATTTTCATAATATCATTCATTAACTCAAAACAAAAGACATGAGGCTATAAATAGCCGAGTACAAAGACTCAAGGAAAATAAAAGACCAACTTGCTCTTTGGGCTCACACTCGACAACTCCCACTAAAGGGGTACAAACGAAAATAACAAAATGACACTTAGCAAATAGAAAAATACATGAATAATAAAATAACATAAATAACTCAGAAATACAAAGACTCAATCGTGGTCGTAGATCGGCGGTCACGCCTCTGATAAACCTTCCATGAGCTGATGTCCCCATCACCCCTTAAACACTACAACACCTAGGGACACTTTACATACCACTTTGAAGGTTTTGGATGCTAATCCTATCCAAGGAGATTCTAGTCCATGAATTGCTAAATTTTGAGAAAGGGGTTATTAGCATTTGACTGTGAGTTCAGCATATGAATCTTATATTACCTATAGTTTATTAGAGCTTGCAAATTTGTATCAATAAAATTACTGACGGTACTATATCTATCCTATGCTAAAATTGTTAATATTGTCTGAATTTCAACATTTAATTTGTCCAAATTTAAGTTCTACTTAAGCCTTCAGCTTGTGTATTGCATGCATGATGTTTTTCATTTGTCAAATTCCATCCACTTGCACACGTAGGTGTTGGATTTTTTCTACATCCTTATCAGTAATATCTAGATAATCACTAATATTTTATCTGTGGGAACTTTCTGCATGCGAGCCAAGCTCTCATCATTTCTGGATAAATTTTGATTGGCTCTGATTCTAGCCCTTGGTAGAGAGTGTTTGAATCCTTGTATCTTCCTTGAAAGTGAGATAGGTATTGACATGAACTTTTGCTCACCAGCTTTGTTTCTTGTACTTTATAGATAATCAAACTTGAGCATTCAATTTAACATGGCCTTATTCTTTTTGAATTTCCATTTTGTTAAGTAGTTATACTTCTAAGGTGAGGCTTAGGATATGCAATTAATCACTTTTGTATCACAAAGCTATGTGAAAATTTCATTGAAAATGCTCTTAAGGAGATTATACTGGACCTTTGTTCCTTCAAAGAGGAAAAACATTTTTTAGGCTAGAATGATCTTCCTATGCATACCTTTTTTTTCCTTGCTAATGATGTCTATATTCCAGCGAGCCATCTCTTTCATTAAATTGCAACGCTCCCATAATATCTTGGTTTTATGTATATTACAGAATTACTTTCATGGCTGGGATGCAAAAAAAATGTTATCCAATTCCCAAGGAAGAAAATCCAGAAGGATATTGAAGAAAAGTCATCAATCTAGCCGACATCAAATTGCAATTTTAGATGATACTAGCAGCTGGGTAATATTATGTTCTGTCTTCTATATGTACATCCTTGCACTTACTCCACATGGTATTTGATTGGCTCTATTTTTACTTCATTATAAACATTGGTTGTTAGCACACGGATGGATTACATAACAATGCACGTGGTCTTATGCATAATACACAGTAAATTGGCTACTGTTTTGTCCAGTTCTCCAATCTGTGTTGGGCTTGCCTGTATTTTTTTATTTTATTAATTTTTATTTTTTGTATTTTTTTGATATTTTTTTAATCTGTGTTGGTCATGCCTGTATGATATTTCATTTTGTAGTTAACATAGAAACTTGTAGAAAAGCTACAACTATGAGTATCACAGTAGTTATAGCACATTGAACTTGCTTATATATATATATATATATATATTCACGCACACACTATGTAATTCCATTGAATTGTAGCATAATCTAAGTATCTCTATTGGGAAGCATACCCCATTAATATTGGGTCAGTGGCTTAAAGAATAACTATATTATTTAGATTTGTATTAGTACATAAAAAAATTGTTAGAGTTTACACAAATTGAGACTTTTTAATACTTAATGCATCTTCTTTTTTATGGACTTGATATGCCCTTATAAGAATATAATGAACTAATTAATCTAATCATCCAAACAATGGCTCCAAGATTCATGCTTGTACAATCTTTGTGAAAGCGGGTAGGATGAAGTGATGATACTTCCAGATCTAGAAAATAGAATTACTTCAAAATATATAAAGACTCTACAATCAGATTTATAGAGTCAAGCTCCAATCTTGAAGTATCAACTAAAATCCAATAGTCTAGCTCAGATTACATCCAATTCCAGCCTTAGAGCCATCTAGATCCTGGTTTTGATTTCCAACAACATGGATCTAGAAGTTTAATGGCTTCATCTATCAGCCCAATGGGCAAAATGATCTAACACAAATCTAGGATATAATCTTACTTATCAACTCTTTGATCATATAGAGGATCAAAATATCTTTCAATCTATGACATTTCCATTTAGTATGGATCTCGTATAGGGTGCATCCATGCTAAGATCGTGACCTTACAATTTCATATATTAACTTGAAGTCAAGAACGATGACATATGCTCTCCTTTCTACCTGCTATTGATTAATTGTCCACAATTTCTTATGTTGCTTTGATGCCGTCTCAGTTGAGCAGTTGCCAAACCAATTTCATTTTACTAGCTGAATTAAGAGAACAAATGAAGGAGAGGCTTGTCTGCACTTTGTCCCTAGGAAGAGTGGTGAGAAAAAAATAAATTTAGTGCACTTTTTGATGCCTTCTCCATCAAAGAGGAATCTAAACATAGTAGAAGTGAGCTTTTTGTTGACAAATTGAGGGAGGAAATTGAACATAACCATTGGGTGAGATAATTGAGGATGGAGGATCTAAACAATTGAAATTTATCAACCATGGACAATAATTTGTGCTTTTAACAAACAAGTCTCTTTGAAGTTTATCAAATAAGCTATGATCTTCAGTAAGATTTGACCAACAATAGGAAGGTTCATTGAATAATTAATAGGGAGATAACTAATCTGAATCCCAAACATATTTCCTAATCCCAAGGAGTCATTAACAAAATAAAAAAATAATAAAAAATAGATTTAGAATAATTAATACTAAGCCCAATTCATTTATAAAATAAATGGGTAACATTGTTTTAAAAATTGGACCGCGCTAGTCGGTTGAATCGTGAATTGGTTCCATGGTTACTCTTGTCAATCGATTGAACCGCTAGAAATAAAAATTGGACTTCAACTGGTTAGAACTAGCGGGGATTTAATTGAACCACATGGTCATTAAAGGGATGAAATTATGACCATATATTTTTGAGTAGACGGTTAACATTTATATGGATTTAGAGTAGATAAAATGTTAAAACTTAAACCTAAAAGAATCCTAATGCTAAAACAATTTGAATCTTTCAAAACTCTTGGTAGCTTGATATCATCTCCCTAAATATGCAGCTTCGTCCCCTTGCCCTCAGCCCCTTCGACAATTCACATGTTTGTTGGCAATGACGGCTCAACCTTCGAGTTCGATTGTTCTCATCTTCCTGCTTTGTCGACAGCTTAGCCTTTCAGAGTCTCGAGTTCATTCCTTATTTCCATGCTTCAATTATTTGTTGATTTTGTTCCTTATTTTGTAAGTTAAATCTTCAAGTATTCAAATACAAGATTAATTAGGTTGAAATTCTAAAATTGTAATATGATTTGAGAAGGCTTTGAAGAATGGGGAAAGAAAAATGGTCCAAAATAAAGGAAAATGCGAAAATTGTAAAAGAATTGATCCAAAATTAGTTTGTTTATAAATACTTTCTTGATTGATAAGAACTTGTGTAATTTCTTTTCTGGGTTTTTTTGGTTGATAAAAAAAATTAAAATTTTATTTTTTGTAGGGGTAAGTCATATTGTATATATTATTATATATCCTTAGTTGCCTTCACAAGTATCTTCACATGTACTAGCTGATTCGTAGCAAGGATATTCCTTCTCAGGAGCTGATGCCTTAGCAAACTCACTAATGGTTATAAGAGGAATTTGTCAGAGGAGAAGGCACCATTCGCCTCCATCCTCTCGAAGAACTCGTCATACACTGGGCTACCATAAGGTTGTTTAAACGGGAAAACATATTATCATCATTCATCTTAGTCAAGCTCTTACTCTCTGAGCTAGCCAAGCTTACCAAACTTGTTTACAGGAAAGCGTCCACCTCGACAATTTGTCACTCATTCAGCTATAACTCATTTTAGATTCAGGAACCCACAATCCAAGCTCTCACTTCAACTTGTCTTCATCAACACGGTGATGCCGAGTCTCTCATATCACTCATTGACTTCACGAGATAACCCTCTGGCTATTTGTCAGCTCCTCTTTAGGACTTGCCCTCTTTCCTGAGAGTGATCAGGATGTGCCATGAGTCATAAGCCAACCTATATCATTGTACGAGCATTTGCATGTAGCCCACATTTTTGCCTTTTTGTGTAGCTTTACCTGCTAGCCCCAAAACCCTATAAATATAGGGTGACAAGGAACAGTTAGGGACCAGAATTTTGGACTTTTCAGAGAGCTATAGATTTTTTTGGGTCTTAAGCTTATTATTATATTCTTGTCACATATTTGCGTCATTACTATATTGCTTAAGCCATTTAAACAATGTATCATTTCATTTTGTTTATCATTCGGATCAACCTTCAACCATGGTTGATCCCTAGAATCTTGAATCACTTCTTCTATTATTTCAATGTTCAAAAGCTTGATGGATAGAGTTTGGAAGAGAATGCAATGTCAGTTTCTCAGCCTTCCCGAAAATCATATGATCATCCATTCAGATGCCAATATTAGGAGGGTGAGCAAAGATGGGGGCTTGAATATGGTAGTCTACCAAGTCACCCAGAATAAAGGAGAAGCAATCCATGGCTATGGTGAAAAGAAAAGGCGAAAGAGGATAATCTTGTTGAAGACCATTATATGAATTAAAGAATCCTTTCAGCTCACTATTATTATAATAGAGAATGACAATTTAGTGTTATAGGCCCACACCCATTGAAAAAATAGAGGGATTCCTATATATCTAAATAAAAATTTTTCATGATTCATACTATTGAAAGCCTTACAAGATCAATTTGCATAAAAAAGTCTATGTTCGAAGACAAACTTAAATTCGTTGAGAAGCTTATGAGGGAGAGTAGTGTTGTCTGATATATTTTTGTTTTGCACAATTGTTGGATGAATAATGACATGAATTACAGCCTTTGCTTTTACAAATTGCTCAATGAATCTTTAATCTAATTTGAAAATCAATTTAGTTGTTATACCAAGTGAAAGAAAAAGCTACATTAGGTAGTTCCTTGTATAAAAAATATAATCATTAAACTCGATAAATTCAGGAGGAAGAGAAGACTTCAACCACTTTGTCATTAGGGGTGTGGATTTAATTACCCCAAGAACAATCCAGGTAGTGTCAATCTAATGAGAAAAATGGGTAAGAGTTTCCTCTCAAGTGTTCCAATCTCTAGCATCATTGGTTGCATAAACCATAGGAAAAATATATAGTGCTGGTGAAGTTAACTTTCCCATGAATAAGTCGAGGAGCTGAGAGAAAGAAAGGTGATATGAGTTCCACACTTCCACTTGACCAAAAAGCTTGCTGCAAGGATTGTCGAGAGACTCAAACGTTAATTTTTGGTTGTTGTCAAGTTACAGTGACAAGGGAGATGCCAATCTTGCTGGCAACCTTGGACCCTTGAACATTTTCTCATTTGGACAACACAAAATTTATTAAATTTAATTCATAATGGGATTTCCATTATATCTTCCTTAATAAAGAGAAAATCCCATTGCACTTTTTAAGTTAGAAGTGCTTTCTATTGAAAAAGCAAGGTTCAACATTCTTGAACATTTCATAATCTTCAAGATATTTGAATTTGAAAAGAAGGGAATCATTAACAAAGTTCAAGAGCTCTAATGTATCTCAAAACTTTAAAATTTTATTTATTGCCACGGTAAGTGTATCTATTGTATGGGTATTTTCCAGTAGCATAAATATAGATTTCCACTTCAATGGTATTGAGAGTAGGATGCAAGATTGGCTAACTTGGGAGGATAAATGTTGGAAAGCATTACGATCATTGATGGTGTACGCCATCAGCAAGGGGGATAGATCTTACAGATCTTGTGATTTAAACAACAGAACTTTGTGCATGTTAGAGCAAGCAAACAAAATCATCGGTTCCTAGGGACTTGTCTTTTCCAATAAGAGATTAGCGCATCAGCCAAACCAGTTGGAATTATTTTGCTCAACAGGTTTCTATCAAAGCAGGGATATGTGCTACTCCTTAATCCAAATGGAAGATAATAGCATAATAGCCTCATCAGCAATATCAAAAGAAGAGTTAAGAATATCATGGTACGAGTTGATTTTCTTGATGAAGTTAGAGTTCTTATTGCATTTTATCATTTGGCAAAGAAATTTAATGTTA